CTCGATAAAGGCCCCAAGCACTTGGAACTGAGCTTAGCGTCAGGCGGTACCTACCCAAACCTGTTTTAGAGATTGAAACATACGTTTTTTTGCAATCTTGCGTCCTATAACCTGATTTTCCCCATACTAAGCATCAAACCTGGTTAGAAAGAAGTCTGTAAGCCCTAAAACCCCTAAACCCCCGAACAAGCGCCGCATGAGTCCCCAACCCTAAACCCTAAACCTAAACCCTAAACCCTAAACCCTAAACCCTAAACCCTAAACCCTAAACCCTAAACCCTAAAAGTTCTAAACCCTAAGCCCTAAACCCCCAGTTCACTCCAGAGACCGCGCGCGCGCGCGCGCCCAAGGAGCGTCGCTCTGGTCTCTTCCGGTCGCTTGCAGAGCTTGGTGGCTCTGGTTGGTGGTGTGTGCTGCGCACCCTTGGTGCGCCACTCAGGGTTTTAGGGTTTAGGGTTTAGGGTTTAGGGTTTAGGGTTTAGGGTTTAGGGTTTAGGGTTTAGGGTTTAGGGTTTAGGGTTTAGGGCGGAGAGCGGACAGGCTGTGAGGAGTAGTATTGCTACTGGTAGTTGTTTTTCGATGACTATCGTTTGGGGCTCAGGATTTACAAGATTTAGAGTTTAGTGTGTAGACCCCCTAGTCGTGATCACTTTGGCTCCGTTTTGACTCGGGGGGCTCTGGCAGTGGGACTGGGCACTGCATGGCCAAGTGTATGACGTACTGTTGGTTGGCAGGGAATGAGGGAATTAGAGCTGCTATGTATACCCTTTAAGGGATCGTACATGGTACCTCATTCCCCCATTCCCTACTAGCCAACAGTAAGAGTAAGTATGCGCCCTCAATCCTGCACCGACTCCCCCAATCCCACGACAGTTTCCATTCTCGCACCGCGCACCGCGACGAAGAACCCCTATAGGGCAAAGAATGCAGAAAGCACAGGAAGACCACAGAAGAAACGGAAGAACAAGCGCCGGAGACAAACTTAACTGTTTAGTAGATCTGATGACTTGCAAGCTGAAGCTCTAAATCCTAAACCCTAAACCCTAAAACCCTAAACCCTAAATCCCTAAAACCCTAAACCCTAAACCCTAAACCCTGAACCCTGAACCCTTCTGAACTCCCTGCAGGCCTTGGTCTTTCCGCCGGTGCTGCACCACCTGCTGGCCGGCTGACCTCAACCCCTAAACCCTAAACCCTAACCCCTAACCCCTAAGCCCTAAACCCTAAACCCTAAACCCCTAAACCCCTAAACCCTAGACCCTAAACCCTAAACCCTAAACCCTAACCCCTAAACCCCTAAACCCCTAAACCCCTAAACCCCACACCCCTAGACACCGCCGATTTACAGACCTTCGTTCAGCGTGTCGCGTTTTATTGTGGAGGGTTGGGGTTTATAGTATCCGGGTTCAGGTTAGGGTGTTTAGGGTTTATGTGGTTTTTTTGGGGGTTGTCGGGCTACAGGACCTGCAGTCTTCAGGCTGAGGGTTTAAGGTTCAGTCGGGTTGAGCGAAAAATCTCGCCGCTGAAGGATTACTCGCAAGAATCCAAGTCATGACGAGCCTCAAGTAGTCGTGACATGTTGGCTTTCCCTTGCGGTGTTTAGGGTTTAGGGCCTAGGGTTTAGGGTACCCTAACAGTTTAGGGTTTAGGGTTTAGGGTTAGGGTTTAACCCGAAACCCTGAACCCTGAACCCTGAACCCTATGACTGTTGCAGATTGGCGGCCAGTGGAAGCTGGACACAGCGCTGTCCTTGGTGGGGATCTCGTCCGGGCCTCAGGCGGAAATTTGGTCCCAAAACCCAAAACCCAAAATGGTTACAGAGCTGATTTGTTTTGTTCCACGCCGGTGACTTCTCTAAATGCAACCTTTTTGGTGCCTCAGAGGGGAACGGAGACCCAAGGAGCCACTTGCTACAGCTTCATAGGCGGTTTTTAATTAGGGGGTTGGGGGCTGTGCAGGGGTTGTGGGGAAATTGGGGCGGCTATTGTTTGTAAGTTTTGTTTTTTCTTGGTTTGGGGGGTTGGGTTAGTTAGTTTTTTTTTTTTTTTTTTTGGGGGGGGGGGGGGGAATTCGTGGATTTCGGTGTGTGCAGGTTGGCGATCATTTCCTCTGCTCAAGCTGCGTGGACGTGGGATGTCTATCAGGCACTGCCCTGAGGGGGATTTGGGGCTTCAACTTTAGGGCTTGTATAGGGGATTTAGAGGTTGAGATTGAGTCTTTAGAATCCTCTAGTGCTTAGAGTTTAGTATGCAGGGGGCTGAGGGTATGGGGTTTAGCTTCTGGGTTATGGGATTTAGGGGGCTTGGGGTGTGTTAGTTGAGACCCCTGGGTCCTAAACCACCAGTCTTGAACGAACAGGATTTCAGGGGCATTGCGGGCTTAGTGTTTGGGTGAATGAGGGGTCGGTGGCTGCAAGAGTCTTATACGCCCTGAGTCCTGGACCTACAACCGGCCTTTGAATCGAAAAAACTTCAAAAACAGAGCTCTTTGACCAGCGGGGGGGGGGGGGAGCCCTAAATTTAGTGGGCATCCGAACCACCTACTACATTCGCGCCCAGACCCCGGACCCTACTAAGCCCCAAATCCTAAACCCTCAAACACTGAACCCCAAACCCTAAACCCTGAACCCTAAATCAGTGTGAGCCACTCCCGACCCTAGACCTCCCCAACTACCACCCAATGTTTTCACCAATGTTTGCTTTTCCGATTGTCGCCCGCGTGCTTGAACCGTGAGTTTTGTAGAGGGTTTCAGGAGGCTAGGCGTACCAGGTCTCCCGGGTTTAGTGTTCAGGCTTTGGTGTGTTTAGGGGCTTAGTACTTAGGGTCTAGGATTTAGGGTTTAGGGTCATAAGGTCTACAGTTCTACAGGGGGGGGGGGGGAGTTAGGCCTGAACCCTCAAACCTTAAAAGTTTTAAGTGACTTAAAACCCTAAAACCCCCAAAACCTTGAAGCAATAAGCCAGGAGATCCCCTTCTACTCCTGCAGCGGCAACTGAGGCAGGCCGGGGCCACGAGAGATGGGACCAGAACCTTTAGGAATTCATGACCTCAAGATTTCGTTAGTCGACGATGTTGTTCGGCGGATACTTGCTTGATGCTCGCAATCCGGCTCCACATAAAGGCATTCCCGTGGGCAGCTTTAAAAGCTGCCTCGTTTTGGAGTTCTCCGTCATCATGGCTCCAGACATGAGCAAGGTTGTCAGAGGCCCCCATCAAGGTCACCGATGTTGAGTTGATGCAGTATGCCGCAACCCTAAAGGTCTAAACCCTAAACCCTAAACCCTAAAGCTCTTGAAGCCTTAAACGCTCCCAAGCGCCAGGCTTCGCAGCTCCTTGAGCGCCGCCGAAGAAGTGTGAGAGTGGCCCCTGGCAGCCGGATAATGGGGGTATAGGGCCCAGTGAGGCTTAAACCCTACACCCTAAACCCTAAACCCTAAGCCCCAAAAGAAAACAGTTCTCCGCGTTACCCCCAGGCGGCCTTCAGGGCTTAGCTTAGGGTTCAGGGTGAAGGCCCATGCTCCGGGTTCAACCCTGAAGCCCGGCAAGCACTGAAGCCTGAAACCCCCCAAAAAGAGCCCCTAAAGTCGGAGAACAGTGCGCCACCTTCTTGTCTAGGCCCAAACCCCAAACCCGAATTTGGTTTAAATGTTGGGGGGGAGGGGGGGGGAGGGTGGCAGGCTCGGACCCTGCTCAGGAACCTAGCTGTTGGCTGATGTTGTAGACATGGTCTTTAGGCTGCCAGGGGCATCTCGCAGTGTGCCCATGAGCACTGGCTGGTTTAGTTTGAGGCCGCGCCCTTCTGAGGAAGTTGAAAGTTTATAGGGTTTCGGGCCGAAATCCTATTCTTTTGTAGGCCACCTAAGAACCGCATGAGGGATGTTTTTGGGGTTTTAGGTTTTGGGCGTTTAGGGGCCTATTGACGTTCTGGGGCCTTCTAGGGCTTGAGGGGTTGAACCTTACCATGTGTTGCCTGTCTTGATTCTAGATGGTAGTGTTTAGGATTTAGGCTCAGGGCAAAATGTGCATCTGCCTGCGCAGCTTTTAGAGGAGTTTCATGCAGCCTAAACGGGTTTAGGGTTTAGGGTTCTGAGGAGGTGCAGCATCGACAGTACCACGACGGCCATGACGCGCTAGGTAGCATCATGCGATTCTGGTAGGAGTATTGGTCTCAGGTTGGGTGCAGTAACGTTGCCCTGCAAGGGTTTTGGGGTTCAAGGGTGAATATATAGGCAGCGATCGATGCCTACAGGTGGGGAGCACCCACCCTAAAATTCCAAGCCCTGAGCCAGTGAAGAGTTTGCGACTGGATGCGACGGGAGGGCCGGCCGGCAATGTCACTGAGATGCATGAATATCTACCCCGCGCTGCCCAGGCGAAAGACTCGCTCGAGTTGCAAGGTGAACCCACTATAACCCCAAGCCCGGGAGTCCGATCTCCACAAAGAGTTCAGCAAGCACCAGCGAAACATGTGAGGTGCTCATCCGCAAACAGCGTTTAGGGTTTAGGGTCTAGGGCTTCAGGTTGAGGGTTTAGGGTCTATAGCGCTTAAGGTCTAGGGTCTAGGGCCTCAAGGTTTAAGGCGTTTTAAGGTTTAGAGTTTGAGTGGGTTGCATCATTGGGGTTCAGAAATGAGGCTTGGAGCCCTGGCTACAGAAATCGCGACGCCACCCCTTTCCGCACAGAACCTGTCGAGTGGATCTGAAGCTGCAGCTCTTGCATCAGAAGCCCCCCCTATCTTTGAAGGGCTTTGGGCTTGGTAAGAGAAAGCCTATGCCTACGCCCTTCACCCCAAATCCTAAATCCCTATACGCCCCTTCTGATTCCTCCCTGAACCCTATAAATCCTGAAGCCTCCCGCGCCAGGATATTGTCTATATGAATCAACCTAACAACGCCCCAAAACCCCAAAGCCCCAAAAAACCCACGCCCTAAACCGTAAGCCCTAAACCCTATGACCCCCCTCTGAGCCCCAAGCCTCCATAAGCCCCGAAACTTCAAGCCATGCGCCTTGCGGGCGTCTGCCTCGCCTGCGAAGCGCTCACGACGGCACTGACAGCCGCCTACTGCGCTGTCGCGCCGAGGCTGAGAGGTGGTCAGTTGGTCTGTAGGGTTCAGTTTATTTAGTTTTTACGGTTTCTGGCTTAGGATTCTAGGTTAATTGAGGGCTTAGGCTGCAAGATTTCCCGGCCGGCAAGTTTAGGGGGTTGAAAGGGGTTTTGAGGATTGGGGTTCCAGAAGATTTTTTGTTGTGGGCGGGAGGGGGAGGCGGAGGGGGGGGGGGCCTGTTTAGGGGTCAGGGATCTTCTCGCACTTCTTCTTTTGGGAGAAGTCTTAATGTGTTTTTTTGCCTGTCGGTAGACCATCAATACGGCAGCTTGCAATCCATCCATGGGTTGGTAGACAAGCCTCGGCCCTGAACCCTACCCAAAAGCCCAAAACGCTGCCCAAACCCTAAAGCCCTAAACCCTGACACCCAAACCCTAACACCCTAGAACCGTAAAACCCTACAACCCTAAAACCCTAAAACCCTAAGACCATGAATCCCTAAGCCCTATGAAATGGCCTTAAGCTTGCGAAGCTCCAGTGAGGTGCTCCATGACGTCACCTCCGCCCCCGAGGACCGCTTCAGCTCCGACAGCTGGTGCCTTGAAGGGAGAACGCGGGGATGTTGGGGTTTAGGGTTTAGGGGTTGAGGGGTTGGGGGTTTAGGGGAGGTTTAAGGAATTTAGGGATTTGGGTGTTAGGCTTTTAGGGTGCAGGGTGTAAGGGTTTTAGAGCGTTTTGGGGGGGTGGAGGGATTTGGGGTTTAGGGTTTTGGGGATGAGGGTTTTATAGAGTGTAAGGGCAAGGCTCCAAGAGCTCTGATTGTGGGGTTTTCTCGTCGCAAAGGCCGCGCTACATCAAGGTTGTTGGGCAATTCTCGGGCTTTAGGGATCTAGTGGTAGATTTTGGGACTATAGGGGTCTGGGTGGTAAGGGATTGTTTTTTTGGTTTTGGGGCTTTGGGATTTGTGGCCTTGGATTTTGCGTTTTAGGGCTTGCGGTTTTCTTAGGGATTTTGCGTTTCAGGGATTTAGTTTGGGGTTTAGGGATTTATAGGGTTTGGGTTCAGGGGGATTTAGGCTTTTAGAGTTTGGGGTTTCGTCCTGTACGTCTGCATGGCTTCGTGTAGGTTGGGGAGGGGCGATCCCAGGAAGGCCCCAGGCCTGGAAAGTACAAAGAGCCCTGACAAATCATCAGCCGAGCGTAGCACAAGAGCTCGTAACTGTTGGAACCGAATATGGTCATAAACCCTAAACCCTAAACCCTAGATGTAATATGGTATCATATTCATGCAAACTACCTGTCGAATTCCACCATTGCGGCATATCTAGGAGCCGCTGGGTCCGATTCTACTTCGCATATCAGGGTCAGTTTTTGAGGGCTGCAGACTGAGTAGAATCGTCGGGTTTCAGGGTTTAGGGTTTCAGGGGGTTTACTGTAAAGGCGCCTCCGAAAGCCCGCGCACAGCAGGTATCAGAATGGCTTCTGCCAAAGCCATTTCGAGTTGTCAGACGGAGGACCTGGCAATGATGAAATGAAGGGCTTGTTGGGGGTTTATAGGTTACTGGCTCTACAGATTTGTCAGGGTTTACAGGCCTTATATGGGGTTTTTATAGCGTGCAGAAAAAAAGGGCGTGCACAGGCTTCAAAATAATAGGGTTGAGAGGGTTCAGGCTGTGGAGTCTTTCTAGCCCTCAGCTCTTCGTGGAGTCGGTGCTGAGTTCTGCGAAGCTCCCCAACTGCACGAAGTGTCCCTTCAGGTCGCAAAGACCGTGCTGGTGAATGTTGATTGTCCGTGTGACGTGCAAGCAGTGTGTGTGTGCCTAGAATGGGCAGAGCTTGCCCTACGGAAAAGGGCTCATGCAGCAGCACTGCAACCTGGCACGAGCTCACAGGCGACTGAACTCAACAAGCCATGCCATGAGATCAGAGACTTTGGGTTTCACTAAATCAGTGTTAGGGATCCTTTTTACTTTTTGGGTTATGGGCTTTCTTATATATAAACAAAAAAGGATCCGTTTTTTCTTCCTAGGGGAACAGGGATTAAGTTCAGATTGTAGGGTTCATGGGGCTCGGATCCTGCGGCAGGACTTGTCTTGACAAGCCACGGGCTCTCTGCCCTCGCCGACATCTTTGGCGGCTTCGCTCTGCTCCGCTGGAATGCAGCAGCGCTGGATCTGAAATCCACACCAGGAGCGGGGGGGGGGGGGGGGGGGTTGCCTGAGAGTTCTTCTAGCCCTGTGGGGCCACATACGTACCAAGTACGGCCCAAAGGTATCTTGTAAGCGGCCATGCGTTGAGCGATAAGCGTTCTTAGGCTGTACATGCGGCGCAAAATAGAAGTACTGAATATCTGAACACATGAATTCAAATAGTGTTTGTATATGTTTTTATGTGTATGCACATATAAGCCGGATGTGCAGGTAGAGCTCCAGCAATAGTTCCTATAGCGGCATGTGCACAAACTCTAGCTGCTTCTGCCAGTGTGCAAGTTAGAAGCCCAAATCCGAACTCGATGGACGTGTCGGGCAGTAGTTTTTCTGTTCAACGAGTTTTCTTGAAGGGTCCAGCTGAGAAATCGGCAGACAGAATCATATAGAAGACCACCCTAAACCCTTGAGCCCTGTTCTGCGCAACAGGCCATCGAGCTGTTCCCCTGCAACTAGCCATTGTTGTGGCTTGGAGCCACCTTTGAGCAACACCTGCTGCTTCCGTTTGCGGGGGTTCACAGCCTTGAGCCCCAAAGCCTAGGTAGGCTTTTGGGACATTCCATGTTAGCCCTTAAATTGGGTTTAAGAGGATCATATACCGGAATACTTCTCAGAGGGTTTTAAGTGGGCCATCCTAGTTCACAATCGAGGCTTGGAGGCTTAGAGTGTAGGGGTCCGGGTTGAAGTATAGGGTCTCTCCAGGTTTTCACACAAGAAACTCCCAGCCTTTGTGTAAGGTGTCGGTGTTTACCATGCTTCATGGCCTTGCGCACGGCGTGATCGGCTTCTCGGCCGTTCTTTCGGGCAAGCGGGCCGGCTGCCCCTCAAAAAGCTCCCCAGCGCCAAGGCCCGGTATCCCTAAACCCGAAACCCTGAGCCTAAACCCCCAATCCTTCAACCCGAATAAGACCGAAACCTCCGGTAGGTTCTTGACTTCAGCAAAGGTTTCTTTGGTGGCCTGAATGCAGACGTCCTCGACAACTTCCGTCCGCAGAAGGCCCCGCCTCTGCTACTCGCCATGAGCCTCTAGAAATGAAGAGAGTTTAGGAATTTAGGGTTTAGGGTTTAGGGTTCAAAGCCCTGAACCCTTAACCCTTTGAGTTTGGGGTCTTGGGCTCGGCTTTCTTTGATGATTTGGAGGTTGTTGTTCAAGATGGCCATTGCGGTTGCTGATTTGCATTGTGTTGGGTGAAGTCATGAAGCAGCGGCTGTGAGCTTGTGTAGCATCTTCTGTTCCTCATGTTCCAGTGCTCGCGCTTTAGACTCTGAACCCGAAACCCTAGACCTCGAGGCCATGATTGTGGCTGCTTTGCTTTGGCTTGTTTCAGACTTCAGTCCGAAACCCTGAGCACCCAGACAGATAATTTGGGGGTTCGGGTTATTGCTCGTGGGCTGCTTGGGCCTTGAACAGCTTCAACTGGGCTGTCTCAGCTCAGGCTTGCTTTGGCCGTGTTCCTTGCGATGGCCTCGTTCCTGGCGGTGGGGCCTTTCGTAGGACCGGCCTGAAGCCAGCCTTTTCAGAATCCCAAACCCAGCCTTAGATTGCTTGTCCCAAAGCCAAGTTAAGCCCCAAACGAGGGCTCTACGGCAGTGTCGCAGTGTGGGTCTACTGAACTTACCCCGAGGGTCCTCTGTCTGGTAGTCTGTTTTTCGGATCGGGTATCATAGCCCCCTAAACTAATCCCCCCCACCACCAACCTTAAGTAGGAAAAACATCTGCCTGCAACTTACTTTCAGCTTTATCCCTTCTGCCACTCGGGTCGGGTTTAGTTGGGGTCGTGGGTATTGGGTTTGGGTTCAGCACCCAGTGGGGTTTAGGGCTCCCAAACCCTGAACCCTGAAACCTAAACCCTAAACCCTAAGCCCTAAACCCTAAACCCTAAACCCTAAACCCTAAACCCATGCTGGCTGCTGGCGGGTTTGGGGCTTAAGGAAGGCTTTAGCTTATGCAGGCTGGGACCGGGGCTCTCAGGATTCAGGTTTTAGGGTTTACAGGGTTTTTCAGTCTTATAGGGTTTGCAGGCCTTCTTGGTGTCGAGAGGGTTGCTAGAGTTTGTCGGGTTTATCGGGTTTATCGGGTTGATGGGGTTTAAGGGGTTTAAGGGGTCTATAGGGTTTAGGGCTCGGCCTTTCGAAGGATATGTCCATGGGATCTCCTTGCCAGCGTGCGGCTTGATCCATGTCGTGCGGCTCGTCGGCACTGAAGTTGCATCAGCGCGAGACACGAACGGGGGCCCTTGCTCAACCCTACAGAATGGCAACCCTGAACACAAGCCTGTGGGGCTCTGAACTCCACAACCCAAACTAAGTCCTCCACCCTAAACCCGATGAACCCGAAATACTAGACATGAGGGTTGAGTCGGGACTCTTGGGAGCTTCTTCTACTTTCGCCTTCCAAAAATGTCAGATTGTAGGCATACCGTATACCTATGTACCGACAATGATTTTTGGTTCATGGTTCAGGGTTTAGGTAATCAGGTCCCTATGTTGTGGGGCGTGTGTGTTTGGGGGTTTAAGGCCAGCGGCTACGTCCAGGTTCACCAAAGCATCTTATCGAACTCTAGCACCTTTGTTCTTAGACTCTCAACCCCTAAACTCTAACCCTAAACCCTCAACCCTAAACCCCAATGATCACTTCACAGGTTCTTAGCAGGGACCTCGGGAAATCATATAGATGCCCTAAGGCGCCAAATGTCCGAGTCCCCCACTGGAACTACCCTAAACTCTAAACCCTAAAACCCTAAAACCCTAAAACCCTAAACCCTAAACCCTAAAACCCTGAACCCTCAAACTCTCAAATCCTAAAACCCTGAACCCTAAACCCTAGAACCCTCAACCCCGTTAAGAGAATGAGGTCTGTGTTGCTCTTCTTGGTGTACGTCCCTCTGCAGTTCGCCTTCGGGGCCGTGCAGCTGGCAGCTTGGGCTTGGATGTTCGCGTTTAGGGTTTAGGGTTTAGAGTTTAGGGTTGAGAGCTTAGGGTTTAGGGTTTAGCGTTAGGGATTTGGGGTTTAGGATTTAGGATTTTAGGGCCTTGGATGTTCCCCCTTAAACTAACGGTCCTTAATAGGGATTATAGTACCCCCTATTATATCCCTGATAAAGACTGTTAGTTTTTCAGAGGCTTGCAAGGACCAACAGAACTTAACACCCGCGCCCAAAACCCCAAGCCCTGAACAGGTCTAGGGTTTAGGACTTATAACCTAGGATTTAGGGTTTAGGGTTTAGGGTTTAGGAGTCCTGAAACTCAAGCCTTAAGCACTGGGGGGGGGGGTTTGGGGGGTTCAGCTAGCGGAGGTGCTCAACTTCTGGATCTGTCTGCCTCGGCTGCTCCTCGTCAGCTCGAGGGAACCGCAGCAGGCCCATGGGCGGGGTCTTCGTAGGTACTTCAAGGCTAGACGTAGGGTTTAGGGTTTAGGGTTTAGGGTTTAGGGTTTAGGGTTTAGGGTTTAGGGTTTAGGGTTTAGGGCCTAATAACTTTGGATGTTCCCTCTTATACTAACGGTCCTCAATAAGGATTCTAGCACCCCCGATTACAATCCCTATTAAGGACTGTTAGTCTCAATATCCCAGCCCAGAATCATACACAGTGAGTTTTGCCGTTCCACAACATAAGAACCCCCAAAGAAGCCTCCTCAAATCAGAATAAACCCAAAAGGACCTCCATTCACTAAGAACCCCCAAAACACCTTCCTCGAGTCAGAAGAAGTCCAATCGAGAGGTGTGCAAGCAACGTGGAAGTCTCAGATTTGGCTTGAGGATTTAAGGTCGAACCCCTAAAACGTTGAACCCGAAACCCTGTACGAAACTTCAGATTGTTTGGGTCGCCACATTTTCAAGATTCCACCTCGAACATATTGGCTCTCTTTTTGTAAGTCGAAGATGCTTCATATGCTGACGGGTTCCCCTAACCCCTATAAACACGAAACCCTAAACCCTGTAAACCCTAATTATCGTCTATCCCAGGACAGTCCAGGAGAGACCCGTTATATGCGGAGAAGCTCCCCTTCGAAGTCTGATAGAACCGATAAAGAATCAGAGGATCTTGAGGCCAACCTTGCCCACAGTTACACGCCCACGGCAAGCCCTTTACAACCCTTGATAAGGAAATGCTGGGGCCCCTTGCACCTTCCCGATTCCTTTTGGGGTGCAGGGTTTGGTTTTTAGGGTACCCCCTAAACCCCTCCCGAACCCGAAACCCAGGAGCACCTTCGTATTAATGCCAGGCTGCGGAGCGCGAGCGCGATGGCTGGCCGGTGATTAGTATCGGTGCCGTTGCCATATGGTCAGTTCTCTTGGTTAGGGTTTGCTTTTGGGTACCAAACGCGGGGGGCCTCCTTAGAAGAAGGACCCCCAAAAAGGGACCGTATTTGAGAGAAACGACCAGACGAGCCGGTTTAGAGAATTAGGGTTCTGGATGTGTCGAGAAGTTCAGGGGTGCGACTTTGGGTTAAACACGCGCTTCGTCAACTTCCGAGGCTTGAAGCGTTTGGCCCACTTTCTTTGGATTTCTACGCAAGATAGATGGTCGATGTAGGTCTGCAGACAAACTTTGGGTGGGCGATGACCCATGGCTGAAGGGTTCAAGTACCTCGAGGTTGGGGTTTGGGAGTGTGGGGTTGTGGGTTAAGGGAAGCCAGCCACACATCCTTGCCGTTCCAGGCTTCGTGAAGTCTATAGGTCTAGGCTTACTTGCTATCGCAGGGGCTTGTTCGTTCTCGAGTCAAGCCTTGAACCAGAGACCCAAAACCCTCAAAACCTAAACCCCCCAGGTGTGCTCCTGCTGATGCCTGTGGTGTTCTCAGAGATGTTGCTGTGCGACTCCTTCGTCAAAGCTGCCTCAGGCAGGGGGCTGTTGTGATCAAGGGGCTCTCTGAAAGCCCACCTGCCCCAACGGTTTTGGGTTCGTGGCTGAATTGACCGTCTACCCAAACACCTAGCTATAGACATGCCCTTAGGATTTTCTATCTTCCGTGGCTTTAAGAGGATCCATATTGAGAAGCCTTTCACGCGAACTAAAGGGCCAACCGGGTAAAGCTCATATTAATCCCCACCAGGAGTATCATCTTCGGTTCGAGGGGTCTTTATGCAGCTGGCCTAGGCTCCTGAACTCCCAGCTGAGAAGTGGATTTTCCGGGCTGTTCCTTCCATAGGGTTTTTTTCAGGGGTATGATAGGGTTTACCGGGTTTATTGGGCCTATTGGATTCATGCCTCTCCTGGGGCGAGTAGCGAGGGGTTTTCAAGCTTAGGGCTAGTGGTTTAGGGTGAGGCTTGGGGCTTTGAAGTTGAGGCTTCCAATTTGAGAATTCACAACCACTGCGCAGTGTTCTAGACTTTGAGGATTCTTGAACCCCACCCTACACCTGAAATTGCGGGACGTCAGGCCACCTCCTCTACGACAGCTCGCTGTTGATTCTGACTACAGCCTACTCCATTAGCATACGACCCAGAGGGAAGGACGACTGACCCTGGGTCTCCATAGAACCAATCCCAACCCCCAAGTCCTGAAACCGCGGCTGTTAACTTCATCCGAAAGCCACCTGCTTAAGATCCTTAAAATCCAGGTTGAGGGCTGAGGGTTTAGGGCTGTTCCTTGAAGGGGGATTCCAGAGTTTGGGGTCCCAGCGTCGAGGTCAGAAAATTTTAACTTGGCATGGAGTGCGGAAGCATGTCCCAAGCATGGAAGCTTCAGCTTCTCGGACAGGCTAGGGTATAGGGTATAGGGCATAGGGTATAGGGTATAGAGTTTCAGGTTTCCGGGGTCAACATGTGGCGTGCGGCGTGTGAGATGACAATCAATACAGCAAGAAGTGTAGGTATGTGTATATCTACTCCTTCTGCGGGTTAGGGATTATGTTGCACTCCGGCCCCTTTTGGTTGCTTACAGCTTGGAGGACATGCGTGTACTCCCAGCTCCCAATTCTTTAACCTCTGCGCCAAAGCTGCGCAGGGAGGGTGCGGGCAGGAAAAGAAAGGTGCGACAAGCAGAGGCCCTAAAACCCGAAATCCCAAAAGAACCCTGAAACCCTATAATCCGATAACGGTTCTTAAGCCTAAAGTGTTGGTGAGAGGCCTGATCCACTGAACAAAAAAGAGCTTTCCCCCTTCCCGCCTCCTGGCCACCTAAAAAAGAGCGCACGAGCTTCTTTTCGGTGCACCTTGTATCCTTGCCCATATCAATAATCACAAGCTCCTCTAGCCCGCCAGCCTGACCCCTAGACTCTACACTGTTTCTCCCGTGTTCCTCGAGAATTGAGAACACCCCCTGCCAAGTATGGAATCCGAAATCTTCAGGCCAAGACCCCAAACTATCAACCCGACCTTGAACCCTAAACGAAGCTCACCTCGTTCACCTGAAACCCTAAACTCATGGGTTCCCCTACTACCCCCTCTATGCTACCTCCTCTAGGTTCGCCCCACAATTACGGCTATTCAGGGACAGTTAAGCCTAATGAAGGGGGGTAGTAGGGAAACCCATGATAAACACTAAACCCTAGGACCCTGCGGGGTAGTAGGGAACCCCAAACCCCAACCCCAAACCCCAAACCCCAAACCCTAAACCCTAGACCCTGTTGTCTCTGAAACCCCCACCGGGCGCCGAGATCAAGATGCTGGTCCTCGACGAGGCGGACGAGATGCTCAACCGCGGCTTCAAGGAGCAGGTCTGGAGGGAGGAGGTTAGGGTTTAGGGTTCAGGGTGTAGGGTTTAGGGTGTAGGGTTTAGGGTTTAGGGATTAGGGTTTAGGGTGTCGGGCCAGCGAACTTTAAATTCAGTTACCATAATACCCTTCTTTAGGGTTTAGGTTTAGGGTTTAGGGTTTAGTTTTTTTGATTTATCTGGTAGCTTCGGTGAAGGTCCTGAACAAGAACTTATGAAGGGGTTTGGGTTCGGAAGGTGTTGCCCAAGCGGAATAAACGCCGAAGAGATGATCCTTAGGTTCCCGGTGTGAACTGCGCATCATGAACCCGAAGCCCTATGAATCAAACCTGCAAACCTCATAAGCCATAGAAGCCGCCCTGAAAAGCCTAACAGCCCTAGGCCCTACTGCCATGACAGCTGCCCCCCCGATGTCCTTGAAAAGCCGGCTTGGAGAAGTAGATGATCCTTTTGAGATCATGTGCCCTCTTGAGTCACCACCCCGAAAATAAATGGGGGTTTCCAAAATTCGGGGGTCTGCAGTATAAGGGAATCCTACTTTTTGGGGTGTAAACCCCCAAATCGGGTACCCCCAAGCTGAGCATCGTTTAGGGAGCCTACCTAGGCCCTAAACCCTAAACCCTAAACCCAAACCCTAAACCCTAAACCCTAAACCCTAAACCCTAAACCCTAAACCCCAAACCCCAAACCCCAAACCCTAAACCCCAAACCCCAACCCAGCTCCGCAAACTTGGCCAGGTCTATGACATCTACCGATACCTCCCGCCATCCACGCAGGCCGGGCTGCGACTCCGAACCCTTTTTAGGGTTTAGGGTTTAGGGTTTAGGGTTGAGGGCTAGGGTTTAGGGTTTTGGGTTTAAGGTTTAGGGTTTAGGGTTTGGGTTTAGGGTTTAGGGTGGCCCTGAACCCTATGACGCTCAGACTACCAAGTTGACACTAGGGTCCTAAATGTTGTTGGAAACGTCCAGCTTCACTTCTGTGGAAAGCATATTGAGGCCTGCCAATCAAGTTCTGTTTTTTTTTGCTATGGAGCTCTGTGGATTCCGGCAGGAGGGTCTCTATGTTTTCGATCCGGTGCCCGAAGCCCTAAAGCCCTAGACCCTACACCCTAAACCCCAGGGTTTCTGTTTGCAGCATTGGGCCTCCGGGCAGGGTAGGCGTCTTTCCTAAGCCACCAAGACTCGAGATATCGAAGCTTCGACCACGTACACTCTGCAGGTTCGAAGTCCCCTCTCCTCAGAGGGCTTCAGGGTTTAGGGTTTAGGGTTTGGGGTTTGGGGTTTGGGGTTTGGGGTTTAGGGTCCATGGAGTCCGTATATCTTTTTTTTAAGGTCCGGGCTTACGATACCCTGAAACACGCTGTCCTCAGCCCCTATCTGACCTAGAAGCCAAATAAGCCCTATGAAAGGCTGATGGTTCTTTTTTCGTGTTTTTTATTGTTTTGTTCGTGTTTTGTTTAGGCGAGAATAAAGCCCTAAACCCTAAACCCTAAACCCTAAACCCTACACCCTACACCCTACACCCTAAACCCTAAACCCTAAACCCTAAACCCTAAACCCTAAACCCTAAACTCTAAACCCTAAACCCTAAACCCTAAACCCTAAACCCTAAACCCTAAACCCTAAACCCTAAACCCTAAACCCTACCCCAAACCAAGAAAAACACTAAACCCTACCCCAAACCAAGAAAAAACACGAAAAACAACCAGCAAAAATGCGAAAAACAAAAACCTGGACCCTGCCCTATGAAACCCTGAAAACCTAAACCCTAAACCCTAAACCCTGAACCCTAAACCCAAAACCCTAAACCCTAAATCCTAAACCCTAAACCCTAAACCCTAAACCCTAACCCTAACCGGGAGCGTCAAGGTCGTCTTGGTGTCGGCCACCATGCCCCACGAGGTCCTTGAGATGACTCACAAGTGGCTCAGAAGAACTGGGGGAGGTCTTAGCATGGTTCTGGGTTTATCGGGTTTAGGGTTTAGGGTTTGGGGTCAGAAGAACTGGGAAGGTCTTAGGGTGGCAACAGTTTACTGTTTTGAGCGTTCCGCCTAAAAGTCACGGCAGCATGAACCCTGCATTCCCAAATCTTCAGCACCGACGAGGGAAGAAAACTGACCCGTCCTCAAACCCTCAAATCAGAATCCTGGCCGGTTCAGGGGTAAGCCCGAAGCCCTAAACCCCAACTCCTGAAACCCTGAACCCTCATAAATTTGCCTTCCACCTCGAACCCTAAACCCTAAACCCCAAAGCCTTGCGCTCAGGTTCATGAACAACCCTTTCCGGGCCGGGTGCTCGGAGATGTCAGCGATAGCAACCACGTCTCCTGGAAGGGTCTTGGGTTGAAAAATCAGGGTCTGGGGCCCCGTAGACCCTAGCACCTGAACCCTCTACTCTATGTACCGAAACCTTCAATACCCCACCCCTTATACCCTGTATACCCTATGTACCCTATATACCCTATATACCCCATGTACCCTATATATGGTCACGCGCGCCGCGCCCCCCCCCCCCCCCCCGGAGGGGCGGACACGCCAGACGCCGGACCATATACGCTAGTACGCTAGTATCCCCAAACCCTAAAGGGTTCAGGGACGTGATTGAAGTATAGTGGTAGAAGGAGGGCCACCTAGAATGGACCCCTGTATAGCCCCTATATACCTACGTTGCCCCGGCATAACTCCTAAGTATCCCCTAAGGTCCCTGAACCCTAAACACGAAGCCCTAAACCCCAAACCCTCCCGCCTTTAGTCTCTTTGAGAAGTATACGGAAGGCTGGGGGTCTGGGTTTGTGTTTTCGTGCGCTGCAGAGGGCCAGGGCTCCTGTCATTTTCCTTTCTTCCCGCCGAAGCACCCACCTTAAGCCCCACACCCTACACCCTAAACCCTAAACCCTAAACCCTAAACCCAAAACCCTAAACCCTAAACCCTAAACCCTAAACCCTAAACCCTAAACCCTAAACCCAAATCTTGATGTCCCGGCAAAGGTTCTGGTGAAGCGAGACGAGCTGACCTTGGAGGGCATCAAGCAGTGGGGGGCCCGGAGTGCCACACCGGGGTTTAGCGTTTGGGATCCAAGGTTTAGGGTTTAGGGTTTAGGGTTTAGGGTTTAGGGTTTAGCCTTTAGCCTTTAGGCCTTTTGGCCTTTAGGCCTTTAGGCCTTTAGGCCTTTAGACCTTTAGGCCTTTTGGCCTTTAGGCCTTTAGGGTTTAGGATGTAGGGTTTAGGGTTTAGGGCATTCAGGGCTTCTTGTTTGGGGACCTTTCATTTTTGCGGGTGGGCTGCCCACTGGTTTCCGGAGCCACCCGGCCTCGCAGAGGAGCCCTGAGCCCTGCCCATAAAGCCCAAAAAAGCCGGGTTGAAGTTGGGATGTTCCCCCTCATACCAACGGTCCTCAATAGGGGTTATAGTACTCCCTATGATAATCACTATCAATGAAGGACTGCTAAGGGGGAACATCCCAAGGTGTAAGCTGTAACTGCGCATTGCAGATCGCTGAAGGTTCTTCGTGGCCGTCGAGCGCGAGCAGTGGAAATTCGACACCCTCTGCGATCTTTACGACACGCTGACCATCACTCAGGCTGCACGGTCTAAACCCTAAAGCAGAAGCCCTAGACCCTATAAACCCTAGACTCCTAAACCCTAAACCCTAAACCCTAAACCGCCCATCGACCTATCAATCCGTCTGTCCACAATCTCAAGGCTTGTCGATCTCTCTAGCGGCAGTCCAACAAACCCCGGGTCTTTTCCAATATTATTCCGTTCTCAAAGCCGGTTTATAGTAAGTCTATGAGAAGCCTACCACAGCATATTTTGATGGCTTCTTACGCCAGATCTTGAACCCCAAGCCGTAAGCTTTCAGGACCATCCCAGCGTTCCAGGGTAGCTCGGCCCGTTCCCTTAAGGAGGGATTTGAGGCTTTAGGAGCTCAGGGCTTAGGAGATTTAGGGGGGTTTCAATGTGTGAGAGGCCGTCATCTTCTGCAACACCAAGCAAAAGGTGGACTGGCTCACGCCTCGCCGTCAAATTGTTACTGTGTAATGGTTCAAGTTGTACGGGCTTTGGGCGAACCCTAAACCCTAAACCCTAAACCCTAAACCCTAAACCCTAAACCCTAAACCCTAAACCCTAAACCCTAAACCCTAAACCCTAAACCCTAAACCCTAAACCCTAAACTAAGCCGGAACAAGAGCTCACTCTACTGGGAGTGCATAACCAGGCAAAGGCCCCGTGCGGATACGGGCTGCAACTGGGATTTTCACTAGACCTGGCGCTTTGGGGGCCTAAATTCTAAAACCTAAACACAACCCTACCACTCTAAACAATCCGGTTATTCGGAACTTGTCCGCAATTTTTTGGGGTAGGCTTCAGCTCCCAAAATGGGGAACCGCCCTAATTTCAAACCACCGCCCCCAAACAAAAGTTCTATTCCTTCGTATGAGAAGCCCCATGTTCCAATTTTCAGAAGGCGAACCTTCCAATTTTCGGAAGCCGAACCCAAAAAGCCCAGGCCCTAACCCCAAACCCAGAGGACCCTCAGGAGCCCCTTTTGCACACATACAGAAGCCAGGCAGAAGATGCGAGATGCGAACTTCACCGTCGCCTCCATCCACGGAGCCTGCGGCTCAGTGCTGACAGGGTCCCTGCCGCCAGGATGTTCATCTACGCGGTAGGCTTCTGGGGACAAAACATATGTTGTTCCCTTAGTTCTAGGGTTTAAGAGGATTATGTGTTCCCTTCAGTATAGGGTTCTGAGAGGATCATGCTCAGGAATATTTTTTCTGGGGGTCTTGAGGGACCCTAAGCCCGACAAAGATAAGCACAAGGCATCACGCCATGCGGTAGTTCTCTAAATTAAGGTCCCTGTTTGGGGTACCCCACGTAAGAGGGGACGCCTTAGGACAAGGACCTCAAAAGGGACATTATTTTCGCGAAATGACCATGTCGATTCAAGGAAGCAAACAGATAGGAGATTAGAGTATGTGCAGTTGCGGGAACTGTCTGTGGCCATCTGTTAGATTTTCCTCCTTGGGAGGGTGTTCAGGGCATGTGCTTACCCCAAAATACCCTAAACCCTGAACCCTGAACCCTAAACCCTAACCCTGCCTGAATCCTAAACCCTATAAACCCTAAACCCTGAATTCAGGACATGCCACAGAAGGAGCGTGACGCCATCATGCAGCAGCCGGCTCCCCAGTCTGCTCTCGGGGTTTGGAGTTTTAGGGTTTAGGGTTTAGGGTTTCGGGGTTCAAGGTTTAGGGTTTAGGGTGTGGGGTTTAGGGGTTAGGGTGTAGGTGTTTTTTTACCCTCACCCCTAACTATCCCCTGCGAAAGAGCCATGCAAGATGTTTGGGCCTTGTGGTGGGTACGTAGTTCTAGGTTCCCGCAATGCACCCCCCACAAACCCTACAACAACCCTATAAACCCTACAATGACCCCAAAAAACCCTACAATGACCCAACAAAACCCTCAAACCCTTTTTTTCCTTCGACCCCTAAGAAGCCGAAGCAGGTTCCGTTCGGGCACGAGCCGGGTGCTGATCTCTACAGACCTCTGGGGTCGAGGCCTAGATGTGCAGCAGGCGAGGCGGCCACCGGGTTGAGGGAGTTTGGGCGCTTCGGGTGGGGGGGGGGGGGCTTTAGGGGGCGTTTAGGGCGCTTAGGGGGGCTTGGAGGGGTTTTCATCATATTTACTGAACTTAAAAATTAGAGACTCAAAAACCGGAAACACAGTCAGGGGTCTAGGTAGGTGCTTTTCTTCACTGGCTTGAGCGGTTGGAGTCTTACAGCTCGGGAAGGGCCGCAAGGTCTCCCTACTGGGCCTGCGATATGGCCTAGGATCTAAACCCAAATTTGCAGGGTTTGGGGTTTAGGGTTTAAATTTGGGATTTCGGGTTTAAGGTTGAGGATTTAGGGAGACTTCAATCTAAGCGTGGCCCAGTCGAACCATTCTTCTATTCCCCTGTTGGAGATCTCTTCCGTGTTCTAAGAGTCGGCCAGCAATCTTTGCACCTTGCCTTGAAGATGTAGGGAATATCCCAACCAATCCCCGAACATCCCGGACATTAGGAATTGGACATAGAAGCTAGCTCCAGAACCGACTCTGCGCGCTATAAACCCCAGACCCCCAAACCCCAAAAACCTCCCAAACCGTCGGCCCGAAACTAGCCTCAAACCCGCACAACCCTAAACCAGCAAAACAGAGCCAAAGAGGTCTCCTTGGTTATTTGCTACGACCTGCCGAACAACCGAGAGCACGGGCGCCCAATCCACGTGCTACCATCGGCAGGGCATGAAAGCCCTCAATTCGAAAATGGTGTAGGCGGTGTAGGACACTGAAGCCCGCAGTTCAGACATAGTGCGTCCAGCACATCACCCAAAGGCTGGTCCGTTCCAAGTCCAACGCAATACTCGTAGACTACTATATCGCATTCTGCGTAGACGTGAAAAATCACACGGAACTACATGGAAATGCAAAAAAGAATTGATCCCTATGCCCGCGGCGAGAAACACGCCTGGTGTTTCGCCATGCCTGTTCAGTATATGTGAGCTTTTATGTGTTTCTTTAAGGGGGCCTGAAGTTGTTAAGGTGCTTTGGGTGGTTTTGTTCTCGGGTTGTGCAGTGCTTGTGGGCCACTTCTGGGGCTCTAGGGTTTAGGGCTTTAAGGCCTAGGGTTTAGGGTCCAGGGGTGTTACTGGGTCACCCTAAACCCTATACCCTAAACCCCCTAAACCCCCTAAACCCCCTAAACCCCCTAAACCCCCTAAACCCCCTAAACCCCCTAAACCCCCTAAACCCCCTAGACCCTAAACCAGGGTGTAAGGTCCCAGACGAAGCCCCCAACTTGTTGAGGCTGTACATCCACCGAATCGGCCGATCGGGCCGTTTCGGAAGAAAGGGCGTCGCCATCAATTTTGTACCGGCCCTAGGCTGTCAGCTGGGGGGGGCGGCGCCTTTTTTTCGGCACCTTTCTAGGTAGGCCCATGGGATATTGCATACTTCGTTTTTTTGGGGGGTTTGCGAGGATCACGTTTAGGACTTCTCTTCAGAGATTTTTTAGAAGGGCATCCTAGGTTCTGCTGACTGACTTTTGGGCTTCAGAGACTTGTCTGAAATCCAGGTCCTGGGGCGTACCCCTAAACCCTAAACCCTAAACCCTAAACCCTAAACCCTAAACCCTAAACCCTAAACCCTAAACCCTAAACCCTAAACCCTAAACCGCTCTTTCTTGCATCTTTCGGGTTCGGCAGCTTGGCTCTTGAGGGACAAATCTTGCATGGCTCCTTGCATGGGCAGCTTGACGAAGTATGATACGGAGCCCTTATATATGGGTGGTTGTCAAAATTATGATCCTTTTTGGGGTACCCTAAATAGTAGGTGCCGTATTATAATAGGGACCCAAAAAAGGGACCATAATTTTGACAACCACCCATATGTTTTTCAGGGATATCATCCCCCAAAAGGGACACAGTTTAGAGAGCTGCCCGCATGGCCCATCGTGTGTGGTTGTTGGCGAAGTTCAGTGAGGAGCATTGAGGAGCCCTAAACCAAACCGGAAACCTCTAAGTAGGAACCTTGTGTTCGAACTGAACCCTCCTTCTGAAGAAGCCAGCTTCTATGGTGCTGGCAGGGTAGCGGTTGCTACAGAAACCCCAGGCTTATGCTTAACAAGCTCACCCTAGACCTTACATTAATCCTTCTTCATGGAGGCACCCTCCATCCTAGAAGATAAAACTCCAAACTCTCTTCTAGAAAAGGGCCATCGCGTTTTTCACGCCTAGCTCTGTTTTGGCGACTTATAGGGTTTCAACTCTAAAGCCCCTGTGACGCCTGTGACAACTGCAGGTCAAAAATGATGACATCCGAATCCTGCGCGATATCGAGCAGCCCCTTGTCTTCGATTAAGAGCCAGACATGTACTGAGAATCCCTTAAACTTGATAGCCTGAAACGGACCCAAAACCGGAAACCCCACATACAAACCCGAAACCCTTGTACCCTGAACCCCCACCCAACCCTACACCCTGAACCCTAAACCCCAAACCCCAAACCCCAAACCCCCAAACCCCCAACCCTAAACCCTAAACCCTAAACCCACAAAAACCGCAACCTCCCTCCCTTCCACCACCACCCCTGCAGCCAAGGTTCTACTCCACGCAGATAGATGAGATGCCCATGAACGTGGCGGACCTGATCTGAGAAGCTCCCGCAGGGAACACGGGAGAAGGGTGGCGGAACTAGGATGCTTTGGGAACCCTGGACCTTAAACTCTAGGCCGTAGACCCTAAACCCTAAACCCAAATTCTAAATTCTAAACGAACCCTAACCCTCAGATCGCAGACCTGAACTCTTTAAGCCCTAAAGGGTACAGAATGGTGGAAGCTCCCAAGCCCTAAAACCTTATCCTCGAGTCGAGCTTGTGTTTTTACCGATTCTTTGGGGTTTAGGGTTTGGGGTTTAGGGTTCAGGGTTTAGGTTTAAGTTTGTATAAGGTTTAGGGATTTCCCGCGCTCAATGGCGGAGTCTTCCAGAAATAAACATCATGATGGTCACCAGTGTCATTCAAGGAATATGTCTTCAGTTGGGTGGGAGCCTCTGATTTACTTGCCCGGGCCCAACTCTACCGTCTCCCTTTCACCTGAAGAATGCGTGCATGGATCAGGAAGGACCGACTCACGCCCATGAAAACCGGCCCAGCAAGAAGGGTTTTAGGTTTGGGTTCAGGGGTTGTAGTTACCCTAAACCCTAAACCCTAAACCAAAACCCTCAACCCTCAACCCTAAACCCTAAACCCTAAACCCTAAACCCTAAACCCTAAACCCTAAACCTGCAACTCATGGGGTGTATAGATGGCTGTAAGACGTCATCCCCGGTGGCTAAAGGTCGGGTGAACCCTTACTAAACCCTCGAATCATCTCAGCCCCCTCACCCTGAACCTGGGGCGGTCTGCATTCTGAACCCATTGGGATGTTCGCCCTTATACTAACAGCAATGGGGAAGAATGGGGTGGGGAGGGCCTTAGAATCCCTATTGAGGACTGTTGGTATAACGGGAGAACATCCCAACCAATAAAGCCGAAGCATTCAACCCTAAGACCTGTCTACAAACCCCTAAAGGTCCGAACTGAAAACTGAACTAGCCTGCTATGTTCCTTCAGGGTCGTGGGGTTTAGGGGTTCGGGTGTGAGATAAACTCGAATCACCTAACCCAAATGTATAGGGTTGAACTGTGCACTAGGTGGCTTAGGGTTTAGGGACGTTTAGGGTGTAGGGTTTAGGGTTCCCCAAATCGAAAGCCAGACTCGCCATGACCTTCGCGGCCGGCGTTCGGGGGTTCCAAGTACAACGCCGCGGTGGCGCCTATCAACTGGAGTTTGTCTCCGCGTGAGAAAAAGGTAGCGTGGTGGATGTAGGGTTTAGGCTTAGGGCTTAGGGGCATGTGTTGAAAGTAAGGTTTAGGACCTCTTTCCAGATGGAGATCCCTAAACCCACTTTGCCGTCCATATCGACGTTTTGGACCCTAAACCCTACACCCTAAACCCTAAAGCCCAGGGTCCAGGGTTGTTTGAGGGTTTTGGGGGTTGGAAAAGCGCAAAAGTTGCCATGTGAGGGTGAATAGGGTTTAAGGTTTAGGGTTTAGGGTTTAGGGCTCAAGCCCTTAAACTCTGAAGCCCGGAAGCCCTGAAGTTCCCCCCCCCCCCCCCTTCCCCCCCTCAAACTCGGATCAACTCCCAAACCTGAGCTTTAGGGTTTAGGTGTAGGGTTTAGGGTTAGGGTTTAACGTTTAGGGATTCGGGTTTAGGGTTTAGGGTTTAGGGCTCTTCAGACAGCTGCGAGGTACCAGGGCCTCGCTTATCAAGATGTCCTCGGAAGCTACAAGCTGTCGGGACCTCGATGAGGGGTTGGGGGGGTGGGTTCAGGGTTTAGGGTGTAGGGTTGAGGGTTGAGGGTTTAGGGTTTAGGGCTGTGGGCTGTGGTGTCAGGGTTTCAGGGTGTCGGGATGTTCGGTTGTCAGGGGATTTAGGGGTTTGGAAATGGGGCTGTTGGTTCCATAGTTTAGGGTTTAGGGTTTGGGGTTTAGGGTTTAGGGTTTAGGGTTTAGGGGTAAATGCTACAAATGCTGGGTCCAGAATATCTGCGCTGGGCCCCTTCCTGGAGTGTCGTCATGTGGGACACGAACGCATCAACTTCAAGCACATCTTCCGAGACAATAAATAGCTCCAGGGTTTGGAGGTTTATGGATTCAGGCGCTCGGCTTAGAGTTCAGCACTTTCAACTGCATACGAGAAAATCTGAACCCAAATCCGATGAGCAGGGATGCTGGCCAGGCTCTAACCCTAAGCCCTAAACCCCTAATCTTATTTCACGCACCACTTAGGTTCAAGGTCATGCGCTGCGTGCACGAAAGCGAGGGTGACGTGGTGGTCAAGCTTTTCCTCCACAGGTCCTGGGGTGGGGTGCCACTGGGTGTTGGCTTTAAGTTGATGGTCGAGGGCGCAGGGCTTAGGGCTACCTGGTTAGAGTTAGGGCTACAGTATCGCTCTCAACCCTATAACCCTATGAACCCTATAAACCCTTGCCTGACCCCCAAACCTAAGCCCTGAGCTTCTTAAGCCCAACAGCTGCGCACAGGAGGGGTTACTAGGATTCAGGGTTTAGGGTGTAGAGTTTAGGGTTTAGGTTTGTCTAAGAGTTAAAGGGTTTAGGGGATGAAGCGTTTAGGGATTCACCTCAGAGTCTCCCTAAACCCAACTTGGCTGTCGGTCCTTTTCGACACCTATCGCATAAGGATTACGTTTTGGGTAAAGTATGGGGAAGGCTTCATACTGTATTACAGTGAGGTTGCTCCAAGCCCTGAGCCCTAAACCCCCTAAACCCTAAACCTAAACTGCACAAGTGGTTTAAAAACAGGTTTGCTCCCCCCAGAACCGCAACTGAGAGTTCCCCAACATGAGCTTAAACCCTAAGCCCCGAAACCCCAAACCCTAAACCTCAACCTCGATTTGGAGCCTTATCCCAGCCCTTAAACCCTTAAACCCTTAAACCCTTAAACCCTTAAACCCTTAGACCCTTAAACCCTTAAACCCTTAAACCCTTAAACCCTTAAACCCCTAAACCCTAAACCCTAAACCCCCCCTAACCTTCACCGCAAAGAACATGCCAGGGATGGTCAGCCAGAGCTGAAAGAGGTTCAGCACCGCATCCAGCAGGCAAGGGAGCTCCGGGTTAAGGACTCAGGGTGCTTGTAGTTACATAAATATATATATATATCTATGTGTATATCTATATACAGTAATACATATATATATATGTATGTATATAACTGTATATGTATGTGTATACAAGAAATTATAAAGGTTCAAGACTTTGCGCTTCGTGTTCAGGGTTTAGGGTTCCGAGCTTTGTGATTCAGGGGGTCTGAGGGTTGCGGGAGTAGGGTGGAGTCGTTGGACACTTGCCATAAGCCCTCACCCTAAACCCTAAACCCTAAACCCTAAACCCTGAACCCTAAACCCTAAAACCCGGCACACATGGGCCAAGCAAATGGGTTCTCTGCATTGGGGGACTCTTGCAGCTGCCAGCACGTTGAATGTGATGTCGGTTACGAAGAAGGCTACTTCAGGGTTTAGGGTTTAGGGTTTAGGGTCTATATGGTTTAGGGTTTAGGGTTTAGGGTTTAAAGTTTAGGGGGCTGTCCAAAATGCAGGAATCTGTCGGGGACCTACCAAGGAAAGTCCTTAGGCTCAAATACCCCGCAGTCCTGATCTTGAATAGCCCTCCGCTTTCCAATGTCTAATGCTTATCACCCTAAACGTTGTTTAAAGCCATAGAGCGTAGGGGGGGGGGGTTACCGATCTCGGTAGTTCCTCTAGTCGCGCGTCTCTTTAAATCCCCTACACCACAATGATTTAGGACTTCTGTCTGCACCCTTCGCTGATTGAGGGTTCGGGCTTCGACGCCTACTCAGGAGTTGTACATGAAACCCTTAAGTTTAGGGTGCAGGGCTTCGGGGTCCTCTATATGCCCCTATGAACATACTCCGACAGTCTTGTCGCACCCTTCTATACCCCATATAGACTCCACATGTCATGGGAGCCTCGTGCAGCGGGCACCCTAAATCCTAAACCCTGAACCCTAAACCCTAAACCCTAAACCCTTTTCCCTAAACCCTAAACCCTAAACCCTAAACCCTAAACCCTAAACCCTAAACCCTAAACCCTAAACCCTAAACCCTAAACCCTACCCCAAAAACCCCCCTTCCTGAGACAAGCCTAGCCAGGTCAAAGATGCCTTGCGGAGCACGTGGCTGCGTCCCAACGTCCTTCCCTACCAGGCGGCTTCGTACCGACAGCGGTTTAGGGTTTAGGGCTTAGGGCTTAGGGTTTAGGGTTTAGGGTCTAGGGTTTAGGGGTTTCCTCCAAATAGCCCAAAGTAGGTAAGATTTACAGACTTTAGACCCCAATGTAGGTATTGTTTGGTGTACTTGGGGTGCGTGGTGCTACCTCCACCCTATAGAACCAAAGCCCTCATAAGCCCAAGAATCCCTAAACCATGGATTGACTCCGTTTTTGTTGGCTTTTCGGTTTCTGTTTGGCTTCTCTTCTATGGCCCGGGCCTTCCCAGATTTAGATTTTAGAGTTGTTTGATCCCGATCGAATCACTGAAAGCCTTTAGACCTTCTGAAGTCCTTGTGAAAAAAGCCCTTGTAACAACCGTAAAGCACTTTTCATATGCCTTCTCAGAACCTGCGCAACCTCCTCTTCAGCACTCTTGTAAGCTTGTTGAAGATCTTGGCGGAGCCTTCTCAAGCCCCTCTTGAACGCTCCTTCAAATTTCTTCAGCTATCAGAATCAAATTTCTTAAGCTATCAGAATACCTTCGTAAGAAGTTTGAAACGACCGTTTTAGGCCCACTCATGATTTTAGACCTCAACGTACTTAAGACCGCTGTAACTTGTTAGTCAAACCCCTTGAAATCCTCCTTCAAGTTTTTCCTCCCCCCTTCTAAAGTCTTTGCGAAAACTCCCTGCTCTCTCTCGACTCACCGCCCCCCCCCCCCCCCCTTCCGCCCCTCCGGAATGTATTCTCAAAAAAGCTACTACAGTAAGAAAAGCAAAACACGTGTGAGAGAAGCAACTTCACCTTCTTTTCTTCTCATGGGCCTTGAGGTTGCAATGGAAGTCCCAGATATCCCTTGGCT